CTCCCCGAGGCGTCTCTTCCTGCTGAGCGCCATGCACTCTGGCAGCGCCTGTGGTTGTGCGATTCGCGCTCCTTCCTGCATTGCTCACAGTTTAAGACTCAAGGTTTAGTAGGTTTTGTAACTTACATGTAGCAGGGGTTTCAGGCTAATTAGCTTCAAACTTGGCGTTAAGGGTAAAGGGTGCTAGGGTCTCATTTTATGGTTATTCTATGGCATGGCGTGTTGGGAGCAGGTTGCCTAGATGCATGCCCTCCAAGCTAGAATTTCTGAATCCCGAGCAACTGTTTATTGCGGCTTCGCGTCTTTAGGGGATTAGGGTGCAGGATGCAGCAGCAGCAATACCGAGGGAAATAATGTTGCAATAGCAGGGACGATTGCTCATGAAAATGAAGGGTAAATTATTGGAACACCCTCTCCGCTCTTCACACCTTCACAGTGTACCCCGCATAAAGAGTAAACCCCAGAAGCAATACAAATCCAGGGAGAGAAAACCAATGTTGATGATACCAATCCTGCATTTCCTTAAGCACCCTTAAACTATGGGAATTATGGAAATTATGGTATATTCCTTATTTGGGGTAATGCAGGATTTATATTGTCGACTGTACCTAAACCCTAAACCCTAAACGTAGTGCAACAGTGTTAACCATGGCACCTCTGGAAACGAGGGAGGGAACCAGGGGTCGAATCAGTGAAGCCTACTATAGGAACCTCCTTATGGGATTAGGGTTTAGGGGTATAGGGTTTAGGGGTTTTAGGGGTTTAGGGGTTTAGGGTTTAGGGTTGAGGGTTTCGGGTTTAGGGTTGAGGGTTTGGGGTTAATTTAGGAACCTGATTAAGAAACCTTGGGTCTTTATTAGGGCCATGAGGGTTCTTTCTATGAGTCCTAATCATTTGGCTTATAGGGCCACGGTTTCTTAATCAGGCTCCTACATTACTAAGAAAGCCTGAACCAGAAGATCTTCTAGCCCTAAGCTAAACCCTGTCCACATACCCTGAACTCTCAAAGCCCAAAAACCCTTACAGTCCGGAAGCCCAAAATCCTTAACCCAACACTCCGTAGAATCCATCCAATGAGTGACAGGCTGGCGAGAAACATGGCAAGGAAACAAACGACCCTGTGCTTGTGAACTGAAACTCCTTATTATGCGATGCAGAACAGGTCCAGGAAGCTAACGCAGCTCTGGCAGGGCTAAACATCTTCACATACCCGAGAATTACAACATGGAACCCTGAACCCATAGCTCCAAGCCCCATAGTTTAGCTCCGTTACCTTTATTAATTACCCCGAGGCCCTCAAGCTCATAATACGGTTGATAATATATTAAACCTGCATCACACAAAATAAGGAATAGACCGTAATTCCCGTAGCTTAGTAAGGACTCTACCATAATTCCCATAGTTTACTTAGGAATATACCATAATTCCCATAGTTTGAAGGGTCCTTAAGGCAATGCTGAGGATTTATATCATCAACAATAGCCCAGAGCCCTCAGGCCGACAGCTCGAAACCGCCCTTCTCAATCGTCAAGGCCTTTTACTACACCCTACTGTCGATGATCTAAATCACCTTGAAGTATCATATAAATAAATAAATAAATAAGTAAGTATATATATATATATATATGTGTGTGTGTGTGTTCCTTATTATGGGTAATGCAGGATTTGTATCATCAAGCGTATCAGCAGCATGTTTGGTGCCGGTCCCTGAAGAGGCTGACGGTGTTCTTGTTTGGGCTCGACCTCGGCATGGAACTATGGCTCCTCCATTCAGGCTTTGGTGCTTTTAGCTCAGGCTCTACCTCGATTGCTGTGTTTTTCTCATGTTTTTCCTTGATCCTGGGGCCTCCCTTCAGTTCAATCCCTGACAGCTCACACACATGGTACTTCTCTACACGCAGCGGAACAAAGCAGGCTGTCAAGAGACACCAAGTTTCAAGAGTTCCACAAACGGTTTCTGTAAGGGGTGAATGCCGGGCTTGCATACTGCCTGGGGTTCCTAGAGGGCTTTACGGAGCTTTATAAGGGGCTTGTAGTACTAGTAGAGGTTTATGGCTCTGTCTTGCATGAAAATATAGGAAAGCGGCGAATGGCTCTGATTTATTACCGACCGGGAGACAAGCTGAGGAGCATGTCTCATATTCATACTCTGACGTAGTAACACAGCCCATGCCCCCGGCGCACATCACTGCAAACGAGACATCAACACCGTGCCATGCTCCTGAATGTGATGACGGATGGTGCTCAAGATTTCCTGCCCCTACTTTAGGGTTTAGGGTTTAGGGGTTTAGGGTTTAGGGTTTAGGGGTTACACCCAAACTTAACAATCCGAAGGGATTCTCCGATTCTGTGCATCAATGCCTGACATGCTTGGCATGGAGAGCAGTAGACAACAGCCGCTACAAGTGAACCACACAGCATCGCCACACCCTTTGTTGCCTCTGCGTTCGGTGATTGCACGAATTGTAGTCCAGCTGCCCGGGATCCTATGTGCTATTTCAGCCCTTGCTTTCGTGCCTTACCTTAGCATGGATATTACTTCCGCAGCATCCTACAGGCCCGATACTTCCAACAATGCTTGCCTGTTTTGCCAGTGTCCTGCGCGAATCTGCGGACCTTCCGGGACAACCGAACCCTATACAACTCTTTAAAACCACACTATAAACTCAGATTGCAGACTCTGTTTGACGGGGGTCGCTAATTCTGCGGTCTAACGCCCGAGTGAACCCTGAGTTGAAACCCTCTCGCTCGACTTTACAACCTCCACTGTTCTCATGCTAAGTGTGGGCCACGTCCCTCCTTCAATGTCCATACATAGAGCATCTTGAAGATGGATGGAGCAAGAAGTCTTCAGATTGTTGCGGCCAGGATAACACAAGAGGCCGAAAGGCTACTCATCCCTCAACTGAAAGCCCTGTAATCCTGACCTCTGAAACCCGAAATGCTAAATCCTAAACCCCAACCCCGAAAACCCTACACCCTAAACCCGAAAAGCTAAACTCTAACTCCCTATTCGCAGAGTCGGTACTCGGGTCTTTGGATTATTCTCAACCGCACCTAGTGCAGGGTCCTTGGTAATTAGAATCGGGAATCGGGCTCGTTTAACGGGCTCTTTAACGGTTTCTGCTTGCTACGGTTATGTGGGGAGGGGGCTTAATAATGTGAAGAGGATTTTGTGTAACATTGTATCCGGCAACTATATTGCATCCACGACCTCTCGCTGTCTTCAAATCTGCATCGGTACGTGACAAAAAGCTGCATCTAGACCCATGATTCAGAGACCGAGCTGTCTTCAAAATATGAGTTGCTATAGAGTCTACGTCCTCAGACAACGGGGGTTTGGCACTTGGGGTTCTTGGTTTGCCGGAGCCGTGCAAGTCCAGATCAATGGCTTGGTGATAGCTCGCTATCAAACCTCCCAGGCCAAAAGCGCCTTCTCTAGAAATTTGTAAGCTTGAGGGTTCATGGGTAGTTTTAAGTGGAGTTATCCGTCCCCTAATATAGGTTATAACTATAGTTACCCTACTTATAACCCTACTTATAGCTACCCATGAACCTCCAAGAGGGCGAGACTTTAGGGCTTCAACGCTATGGAGTTCAGGGTTTCAAGGAATTTTTTTTAGGAGATCGCAGGTCGCAGGCAGGGCAGAGTCTGGTGGTTTCGGCTTGGGGCTTCGGGTTTGCGGGCTCAGAGCCCTAAACCCTAAACCCAATTAAAGCCCTAAACCCTCCACAACAACTTGTGAAAACAAACACACTTTGCATTGTGCCACAGATGCATCTAGTTTTCAAGCAGAAGAAAGCAAGGTCAGCTAAAGCAAATTGCAACCCCCAGGAGGCGTAATATACGGGTCTTTAGACGAACGACGTTGTCTCATGCTATGAACCCATGGAAAAGGGGGTATCCAAAACCTGAACTGTAGCAGGCAAGCCTCTAAGGCCTGTCAGTTCAATCACCTATCTCTACACCCCTCTGCCCTCCAGTTTAAAACCAAAAGAAGGCCCGGCTGCAGGGCTTGCAGGGCTCAGGATGTAGGGATGCAGTAGGGCAGTAAGACATCAAGAGCTGCGGAGTTGGGCTAGATTTTAGGGTGCGAGGAAAATGCTTTTTGAAGCTTTTGGCCAAGGAGGTCAAGTTCCCCCCCTGTTCCGTGCTGAGCCGCCGCAACGAAACGTGAAATCAAGTTGCGTGGATTGCTGGGATCAAGGGTTGAAGGGAAGGGTTTGGAGTCAAGGCGTCTGCGTAGACTCCAATGGCGAAAGCTCAGTTCGGCGGAAGGCGGGGGAACCTCCCGATTTTATGTCGGACCTGCTCTTGCTCATCCAGCAGAGATAGGAGATGGCTGTACACAGCACCGTCCTGTCCACAGCTCGGGTTTTGCGATTGTAGGGAATTAGGGCTTGAATGTTCCAGGGCTCAAGGGCTACATGGTGTTATGCTATCAGCCCTAAGCCCTAAACCGTATCAAGGGTGTTGGTTAGGCTTCAGGCCTTTTCGCGCTAGAAGGTTTGAGGGCCCAGGGTTTTTGGGGGTTGAACGTTTAAGGCTTCAAGACCTTTGGGCTCCTTTACAGCTATGGTTTAGGGTTTAGGGTTATGTATTACAGAGGTAAGAGCACGCAGTGGAAGACCAACAAGAACAGACATCGCAACATGCAAAAAAGACGTCTGCAAGCCCCCCACCGCCTGCAAAGCCTTAAACCATTTATATGGTCAAGGGTTTGGGGTTTATACTGTTTAAGCTACATGTTGCATCAACTGAACTGTGCCAAATAATCCTTCAGAGCTACATTCTGCAAGATACCAAGATCCAGCTGATGCTGAACTAAGTACGAACTTCTTTTGGGGCCCTACCTGCATATTAGTTTACTTCTATCGATATGGTTATAAAGGGGAGCTACTACATAGCTGCATGTCATACAGCACATTCACAGTGTTACAAAACGGTTATAAGACCATGGGACCCCAAAAGGCAACAAAAAAACCGAAGCCCGAAAATCCTAAACCCACAACACCGAAGACTTAAACCCTAAACCGAACAAGGCCCAAAACCTTGATGCCTTCTCCTCCGCCGGCTGCGAAGGCGTGGCTGCCCGCCGCTGTGGCGACGCACCCCGGCCCAAGGGTGATACGCCACGCGACGAGCTGAGCCTCAAGTCGTCAGGGGATGCTCTTCTTCTTCGCTGTAATGATACCACTAGTCACCATTGCTAACGCCTGTGGAGGTAGCGGCAACAGCTCGACGCTATGGGTGCTTTGGGTTGTGAATGCAGGTTAATCATCATGAATATGTTCACATCGAGAACGAAACCATCTGCAAAATATGGCCCGACACTCTATATGACCACTGAGCCATTCAGCCCGCTGGTGAGAAACCTCGAGTCCCCACCCTCAAACCGCGATTCCTAAGGGTCTGCGCACCAGGATACTGTGCGTTGATTCTTTAATGGTACCTATATCAGGAGCCCCTTCATGGCCTAAGTATATACTACTGGTTAATATACTTGGAGGTTCATGGGTAGTTATAAGTAGGGTTCTAAAGTAGGGTAACTATAGTTATAACCTAAATTAGGGGACTTATAACTCCACGTAAAACTAGCCGTGAACCTCCAAGTAGGTGCATGGACCCCTAAAGGGATGAAACAGCGCAGCCGAGGTACGCCGCGATCTTGTTGCTAGCGCTCTGCATGTTCCTCAAGGTTGCAGTGGCACTCACCGAGGGTCTGGGGGGGCTTACTGTAAGGCCTTCCTGACAAGGGGCCTGATGGGGTTTCGGGTTTAGGGTTTAGGGGGGTTTCGGGCTACTTTACCTTACTAGCATGCTGATGATGAAAATGCGGTAGGGCCTGGAAGGGGTTTGGGCTGGGGTACTTTATCATGCTACATTGCTATGGACAGTAAGGGCAACTAAACCCTAAACCCTTTAAACCCTAAACCCTAAGCCCTATAAACCCAATGAACCCAATAAACCCTATGAGCCCTATAAGCCCTAAACCCTTTTAGGGCGCGCTTCGGATTCGGAAAGGCGTGGAGTTGAAGCACGCGCGGGACCCAGAGTTTCCTTGACGGGTCTCTGGGTTTCGAGGGTTGAAAAGTTTGGGCTTTAGAGCTTGAGGGTTCTCTGTGGCCTTGAGAAAGGGCTTTGGGCTTAGAACTTGGGGGATTGAGGAATGCGGTGTAGTGCTCAAAGTTTAGGGATTGGCATTCAGGGTTCAAATTCCTGAGACCCGAAGAAGCCGGAACTCGTGTTCGGTTTGAGATTGATGCACTTTGGCTGGCCCTGAATGCTCGAAACTCAAAACCTAGAGCCAACGAGGCAGGTGCACTCACTCTGCGTACACTTCTGCCGTTCAGGATGTTAGGCTGCGGCAACATACCCCAAACCCTAAACACTACTGTTACACGACGCTGTGTCTTGTGTCTTGCACTCCGACACCTGACCCCGTGAGCTAAACGAAACCCAGGTGAGGCTGCCACTTCTGGAGCGTCGCTATCTGCACCTGGCCAGCAACCCCAAGGGCTCCAAGTATGCAAATGGTACCTACTTTGGGGCCTAAAGTCTATAGATAGGACCTACTTTGGGCTATTTGGAGCCCCCAGGGAACAGGAGTTGTGGCTTCGTACCTGCTGAACTGAATGATCCACACTTGAAGATCATTGCAGGGGTCCATGCACCGAGATAGCATGTATAGTGGTAGCGGCACCTATCTAGGTATCTGTAGGGCCAGAAGTAACTATACTGTATGGGGTACCTAGACCCTCATATGTAGGTCTTGGAAACTTAACAGCATGTCTACAAGGTGGTCGATCGAAGGGGGGAAGCCGGTATCCCGGTTCAGGTACTTTCAGCCGCATTTCCAACCCCACAATAGTACAATGACGGCGACAAGCCCCAACAACACTGAAATCCCTACAACTGAAAACCTAAGACCTTCAATCGTGAAGCCTTAAGCCGTGATACTAAATCCTCAGCCACACCCTAAAACGTAGAACCCAAAGCTCATGAAGCCCTTATTCCAACCGCAACCCCTCGACCGTACGAACCCGATGAACCCAGAAACAGCCACAGCATTGAAACGAGCCTAACGCCGATAAACCCTGCAGGCGCAAACCCTAAACCCTAAACCCCTAAACCCTAAACAGTAAACCCAAATTCATACATCAGTTCAGCCATACTCAGCTAAGCTCTCAAGATCCTCATGAGAAGCAGCCGTAAACCGAAAGCTCATCCTCAACCTTCCGACGAATCACCCCTAAACCCTAAACCCTCAAGGCTCCGGGTTTAGGGTTTTAGGGTTTGGGGTTTTAGGGTTTAGGGTTTTAGGGTTTAGGGTTTTAGGGTTTAGGGTTTTAGGGTTTAGGGTTGTAGGGTTCACGAAGCGGTCTGCTTCTCCGAGAAGGAACCAGGTGGCAAGCACATCAACCTCGCGAACGTGCCACTGTACCCCCCAAAATGCCCTAGACCTTGGCACCTTCATAGTGGCGTCTACGAAAAGTTGCCCATTTAAGCCCTGCAAGACCACGAGAAACAAAGAAACCATGAAATCCTAAGCTTTAGGAACACTGCTTAAGAGCACTCTAGAACCCGAAACCTTACCTTAAGCCCTTCATGACACCCATCAGCCCTACACCCTAATCCCTAAAGCCCTAAACCCTAAACCGCCTAAACCGCCTAAACCGCCTAATCCCTAAACCCTAAACCCCTAAACCCCTAAACTCCTGAACGCCTAAACCCTTAGCCTAAACCCCTAATCCCTAAACCCTAAACCCCTAAACCCTAACCCCTAAACCCCTAAACCCTAAACCCAACCCTAACCCCTAAACCCGAAACCCTACCCTAAACCCTAAACCCCTAAACCCTAAACCCTAAAACCCCTAAACCCCTAAACCCCGAAACCCCGAAACCCTAGACTGTGGAGCAGCCTCCGTTCGGTGGAGACGCTCAGCCTCGACTTTCCGAAGCTCCTGGAAGCTTTCCGAAACTCTCGGTGCAGAGGGGTTTACCTAAAGGCTCCATCGTAGGTCCTTATAGGGTTTAGGGTTTAGGGCTCCATAGTAGGTTCTTTTAGGAATTGCCTATCAGGATCCTAAAATACAAACCACAAAAATGAACAACTATGGAGCCTATGGGCAAAGGCTTTAGTGACTTTAGTGTGTAGGAGTGTTGGGGGTTTGAGGTTTTAGGGCGTTTGAGGGATTGACGATGTAAGGCTTACAATGTAAGGGTTTGGGGTTTGTAAAGCTTAGTCTTCAGGTGTGTGCTGGCTTGGTGTTTGTGGTTTCATGAAGGGCTTCGCGGGTCTAGGACTAGGATTTGTGAGACTCGAAGACTTTAGGTTTCTCGAAGGGAACTACTATGGAGCCTATGGGCATACGCTAGTACCAATGCAAAGCCTTGTTAATACGAGTAAGACGGATTCTGCGAAAAAAGGCGAAAACCACGACGACGGAACTAGTTGTGTTTAAGGCTATCCCATCCCCATAAGGTCCCTATAGATCCCTGGTAGGTACCCACCTAAACCCTAAACCCCTAAACCCCGAAACCCTAAACCCTAAAACACACCGAAAGCCGAAAGAAACTAAAAACTCTGAGAGTCCTTGAGATGGTCCATCTCACTCGCAGACTTCTCTCCGAAGTCTGCAACCTGATCTTTCGGGCTCCAAAAGCCGTGTCGGCTGTTTTAGGGATGTTAGGATTTAGGGCTATTACTTTGGGTGCCTAAAAGCCGTAGGCGTTTCTAGGGATGCGGGGCTTTGGGGTTTAGGATGTGCTTTTCGGGGATGTGGTGGTTTATGGTTTTGGAGTTTTCGGGGTTGCAGTGCGCAAGGGCTTTTAGGGATTTCGGGGTTTGGCATTTTGGGCTGGATGGTGAATTCTGAGGTTTAGGGCCCAGGGTCTAGAATCTAGGGGTCTCTGAGAAATCTCTTGGTAGTTGTATGAACTTCGGAGGGTTGCAGGGTTTGTAGGTGAAGGCTGTTGGATTCATGGTAAGGGTTGCGGAGTTACCACTGCAACTGATGTCTGTAGTCAGCCGCTGCCCTGCCTACAAATGTTGCTACAACCACTACTGCCACTCCTTGTCTACTACGACGACGACTAATCATCTAATTTTCAAAACACTAAACCAACCCTGAACTCTAAACCCAAGTCATCTAATTCCAAACCAAAAAACCACCAGCCTCAACTCCAAACTCCGAACTCACGAACACCTGTGAAGTTTGAGCCTTTTGCTTTGCGAGGGGCTATGTCACCGACGAAACATGACGATGCCAATTACAGAGGGGAAGTCGGGGTGCGAGCTGAACCCTAAACCTTGGCCTCTTCCACTTCTAAGTATAGACTGTCAACAGATTGACAGAAACCATGTGTTCCTAAGGACGCTTATAGGAGCAACGATATGACCCCTACAGTGAAATTGTCTCTCATTAGTTGAAGCCGCTGCCATCCTAAACCCTGAATGTGGGTCTTAGGAATGCAGTAACAGACCATGCCTCCTTTCGGAGATCCTGTGAGATTTTGTCCACAGCCTTCGAGTTTCGCATCGGGGTGCTTTGAGATATGGGGCAAGGGTAAAGTTCCGGGCTAAGGGTTTGAGGGCTGGGGGCTCAGGATTCATTTTGAACGTTGCACAGGACAGGGTTTCCCCTAAACCCTAAAACCCTAAACCCTAAAGCCCAAAACCCTAAACCCAAACCCTAAACCCTAAACGGAGGTTTGCGGGATCGGGCGGGAGGCCCTTTACCTTCCCACGTGCAAAACCATTTCCTGGCATCACGAGGCTCTGTGTACCTATTGGGGTTTTGGGGTTTGGGGTTTGGGATTTAGGGTTTAGGGTACCTACCCAAAGGCTCCATAGTACTTCCTTTTTGTGCTTTACTCTTAGGATCCTATGAGGAGATCCCAAAAAGGAACTACTGTGGAGCCTATTTGTGCCTTTGGCCTACCATGCCCTACGTTCCACAGATTCCTTAACCGATTCAAGGCTCCAAGGTCTCTCAGAATTAAGACAAAAAACCCAAGCCCTGCATAAGCTTCGAACCGAAGGCCCTCGAACATCCCTGGTTCTTCGTAGGGAATGGGGGAAGGGATCCCGATGATAGCCCCTGAAGGTCCCTTGTAGTAGTCCCAAAACCCCATTCCTCCATTCCCTACCTAACCCTAAACCCTAAACCCTAAACCCTAAGAGCCAGTCAGTAGAACACCCCGGGTTCCCTTCGACCCCCGTCCCGCCTGGTTTTCCCTCGGTGAGCAAGGTTACCTCCAAAAAATACATTCAATGCATTGTTGTTAGATATACATATTGTGGCATAGATCCTAAGCTCTAAACCCTACCCATAGGCTCCATAGTAGTTCCTTTTTGGGACTACCTTTATAGGATCCTAAATATAAAGCACAAAAAGGAACTACTATGGAGCCTATGGGTAGTATAGGAAAGGACCCTAATACCCCAAAGGGTCATTTCGTCCCCGGGCCCCACTCAAAACTCCTGAATCCTTATCCCGAAGCAGCGTGTCTCGCGATCTGCGGAGCCCACACCGGCGCGGACCCTCGTTCTAACAGCCCCAATGCCCTGAAATCAAGGAGCATTTCTTGAAATGGACATTGGCACTGTGGGTTCGTGCGCCTGCATGTTTTGCTGCATCGCGGCGCAGTTTGCATGGAGGATGTTCATCGCCTGGTCCACTTCTCCAAACCTTGGTGCGGGATGCTTATGGGAGGTCAGGTTTCGGGGTGATATTTGTTCTTGCTCGCGAGACCGGTGCGTCTGCTCTTTTCGCCATGACACTCGCAGCCATTATTAAGTGAGGGAGAGACAGGGGCATAGAGATATGGGACTTTCCGAAAATTGGGGTACCTTATTTTGGGGTCCTTATAATAAGGATCCTACTATTTAGGGCACTATATTAGGGCCCCCTATTTTCGGAAACCCCCATATGCCTTGTGCCATGTTCTGAGGTTTTTTCCGGTTAGACCTGACTACGGTTGATGATACAAATCCTGCATTACCCATAAAGAGGAACATACCATAATTCCCATAGTTTAGGGTCCTTAAGGAAATGCAGGATTTCTATCATCAAGAGTATGTTAACAATTAATGTTGTCGTCCTTCCCTGCAATCTTTGCAGGCGCCAGCTGGCAAAGTACCTGTTTCGTTGCCCCTAAACCCTAAACCCACGGTTTAGGGTTTAGGGTTTAGGCATTTTCACCGCAATTCTCCGACAACGACTGGCCGAAACGGGAATGCTCAAGAACGGCTTCAGCCCTCGAGCTCGAAGCTTTCACTTGACTTGGCTCCTGAGTAGCCCCTTTATAATAAGGGTACCCTTTTTCCTACTATTCGGTTTTAGTAAGGGGGGCCTACAATAAAAAGGGCAAAATGGTACCACCCAGGGACCTGGTTGAACACAGCCCCAGCAACCCGACCTAAGCTAGAAAAAGGGTTTAGGGTTTGGGGGTTTAGGGTATAGGGTTTGGGGTTTAGGGTTTAGGGAAGAACCTAGCAAGCTGAATCTATTTTTGAGCCCGAAGCTTAAGTAAAGCCCTGTGCACGGCATATGCCGAAACCCAGCACTGGCCAAGACACTTCATCAGCGTCTGCTCCTTCACCATGCAGGCTTCGCCCAACATGTAGGTGTCACCCACCCGCCCCACCCCCTAAACCCTAAACCCTAAACCCACCCCACCCCAGGGTGTCTAGCTTTACTTGGAGTTAAGGGCGGCTCTAGGGCTGTCAGGGTTGATAATAACTTAGGGGCTGAATGCCCTGGCCCAAAAAAAGGCTAACCTTTAAACTTATTTTAGGGTTTAGGGTTTAGGGTTTATATAAGGCTTATTATCGCAGGAATATTTACGCAGCCCTATACCTGCTCAGCCCCTAAGAGAGGGTGTTTTAGGGTCTGGGGAGGGGCTTAAGACTCAAGGCTTCTGTCGCCTTTAAGCTTTGTGCGAAGCGCTGCTGATGCGAATGATGCGAATGTTGAGACGTCTCACGCCTTTCTGGTACCGAATCTTGTGCAGAATTATTCAAGTTGTCCTGGTAGGGGGTTTCGCACACTCCTAAATTTCTAAATGCGCCGAAAGAGTCCCGAGGTACTTGTGGTTGGTCCCCACATAGCACACCCAACATAAACGCCTGACAAGGAATGTCCGAGAATTGTTGTGAATCTTTTCCCCATGTTCACCTTCTACAACTAGGCATTGCGCCGGAGGACAAGATTTCGGCTTGAGGGGTCAAGGCTTCTGTTGCGTCATATGCAGGAGTGGGTTCAATTTTCTACAAGCTAAATGCAAGGCCGGCGGTCTGCAAATGTCATGGCCATACGAAGCGCTTTTTGCTGTAGACTGCTATGTCGCTTGATCATGTTCTTTCTGCCGAACACTCGAAGCCCCACAGCAGCATGTTCCCGAAGTGTTTCCACACAGCGTCTGCCTGAACGAACGAACGAATGGTAAGGCCAGGCAGGAGACAACCACGCGAACACGCATGGGAAAAGCGTAGGTAAATATAAGCAGAACGTCACTCATCTAGAAAAAGGTTTACTGTTGATTGCTAGATACAATTCCACCATTCTCGTTTTACACGAAAGCGGGAGCGACTTTGTTTGATCGCCCCCGAATGCATCTACCAATCCGAGCAGCAACTTGGCCAGGGATCCGTGTGCCCATATGGCACATACTTAGGCCATAAAGGGATTCCGACATGGGTACGCGAAGGCTGAAGTATTTACTGTATAGGTACAGGGAGCCTAAGGAGTACATGAAACGAAGCCCCCACGGCTGATGATATAAATCCTGCATTACGCATAATAAGGAATATACCATAATTCCCATAGTTTAGGGTCCTTAAGGTAATGCTAAGGGTTTATATCATCAACAGTAGCAGACACCGGGCGCACCAACTTCACGCTGAGCCCAAATCTCGGCAGGCTAAGCCCTAAACTCCGGAACCAAACGCCCTGCACCTTAAGCCCTTGATCGTTTGTTTGTCTAAGGGCCTTCTCTGTTGCTTGTGCGTCAAAGCCCGTGTTGGGGAGGCTCCGGGGTAACATTACTTAGGACCGCAATTAGGGTTTAGGGTGTAGGGGCCGTTTAACGGTCAAAAGCTGAACTACCCTCCGGTAGACATCCGCAAACGCTAAACGCTGGACTCCTAAACCCTAAACCCTAAACGCTCGACTCCTGCACGCTGTTGAGGGCAGCAATTAGTGTAGAGATCCTGGGTGGCCGGAGGGCAAGTGCACGGGGATCCGGGTCTATAGGGTTTAGGGTCTATAGTTTAGGAACATGCTAAGTGTGGGAGGTTACAAAATGCACCCCAAATCTTTTTCAAGCTCCTCTGAAACTACCCCTGAACTCCCCCCCCGTTACGCGTGCGCGAGAACCGTGAGACCCGAACTGCGAAAGCTCCGGGTCCAAGTCACGGGAATAAACTGCCAGAAATGATAGAAGTTGTCATACGGTTTAGGGTTTAGGGATCAAGCCGTCAACCCTATGAACTGTTCAAGCACTAGAGACCCTTCTGATTGGTCACCTGAGGAAGACATTAAACCAATGTCGGACAAGGCTCTGTTGCTGCACGGTCCCTTGTGGGCGGTGGCCTCGCCGAGACGATGAAGGGGACACTCCAGGGATGATCTGCAGGGTACCCAGAGACTCCAATATCCCATAATTAAGGAATATTACCTTAAGTCTTATTAGGGTTCCTATTACAGTTTAAGGTATATTCCTTAATTAAGGGATCTTTGAGTCTCTGGGTACTCTGGGTGTGGGCACGAGCGAAAGCCTCACCAAGGGGAACAACTTGAATCTTGAAGCCTCAACTCTAAAGCGTAAACCCGAAACCCGACCAAAACCTAAAAAGCCCCAGAAACCCTCTCCTCAAACCCGGCACCCTAGGAATCCTAAATAAACCTTATATAAGCCCTATAGAACTGAAGCCTCAAAGCCCTGAGCCTTCATCTCGGAGGATGGAGCGGGCCGGCGGCGACCCACCGTCAGAGGCCCCACCGAAGCCGTAGAGATCCTCTTTGACGGGTTTTGCTTTGGAAGACTAGGGTTTAGGGTTTAGGGTTTCGGGGTTTAGGGTTTAGCGTTTAGGCGGTTTTGGGGGGCTTCAGGTTTCCTAGGATTTCTCTGGCTTTCGGGGAGCCTCCCTCTTCTAGGGGCTCATCAGACTGTTTGGGGCTTAGGATTATACCGGGGGTGCAAGGTGTTCTGTAAGTTTAGGCATTTGCGGCTTTAAGTTTAGTCTTGGCTCAGGCCGTCGACCGCAAGAGAGCTCCGCCAGTATCAACAATATGGTCATGGTCCATGACTAGAATAGGGTTTTGGGGTGCAGTACATTAGTGCAGTTTTCATGAAGGAGCAATGGCAAGTATTCTGGCCCCAAAGTATAGCCCGCTGTGGTAGCTAAATCTGCAGGGCCTTCGCACGGAAAACCCATAGGTCCGCACATAAATCTCAAAACTCGCCCCAGTCCCATTCCGTGGTAAAAAATGCTAAGCCTCACCAACAACACAACTCCACAAGCAACTCAGGGTCTCCAACTCTTTGCTACTCCAAAACCTCAAAAGAAACAAACTTACCCCTATCTCCCCTAAACCCCTAAACTTAACCCCAAACCCGATAAAGCCTAAACCCTAAACCCAGACCCGATAAACCCTAAACCCTAAAACAAAATCCCGGTCCCTCGCAGCTCGCGGCTTCATCTCCACAAGCTCCGCCACTCGCTCCCGAAGCTCAGCGACCTTGAGAAAGGTTTGGGGGTTTAGGGGTTTAGGGTTTAGGGTTTCGGGGTTTAGGGTTTAGGGGTTTAGGGGTTTAAGGGTTTAGGGGTTTAGGGGTTAAGGGTTTTGGGTTTTAGGGGTTTAGGGGTTTAGGATTTAGGGATTTAGGGGTTTAGGGGTTTAGGGTTTAGGGGTTTAGGGCGGTTTAATAAAGGAACCTGATTAAGAAACCTTGGGTCTTTATTAGGGTTCTTTATATGGTTCCTAGTATTTTGAAGTTATAGGGCCAGGATTTTTTTAAAATCAGGTTCCTGCAATATAGGGTTTATATATATATATATATGCGTATATGCTTATAGGGTTTGGGGCTTGCAGCTCTTAGGGTTCAGGGTGATGTGGCTCGGACCTTAGGGTTTATAGTGGCCCCTAAGTAGTTCCTTTTTGTGGCTTATACTTAGAATCCTATAAGGTCATGCCAAAAAGGACCTACTGAGGCCTATGGGTAGAAAGTATCCCATTACGCATGTCAGATGTGTTTATGCTGGGGATGCCTGGGCAGAACACTGCTACACTGCTACTGCTACCCGTTGCGCACGAGGCCCGAAACTCTGCACTCAATGCCCCGCAGCCTCCTTCCTATGTGGCGTGAACCTGTCGGGCACCCAGAGAATAACCCTTAATGAACTCGAAGGCCGTTGTCCTAGTCTTATCTTGTAATGAATCAGGTACTCTCTGAACATTGCAAAGAACACAACCATCCAAGATCCAGCCTGATTCTGGAGATGTTGGACCACCGTCATGCTGTGGCGCTTGAACTCCTAAGCTGGGATTACCAGGCCTACAGGGCTTAGGGCTTTAGCTTCGAAACTTTTAGGGTTTAGGGTTTAGGGCTTTAGTTTCGAAACTTTTAGGGTTTAGGGTTTAGGGGTTAGGGCTTTAGTTTCGAAACTTTTAGGCTTTAGGGTTTAGGGGTTGGGTCTTATGTCGGCATTCATCAACATTCATCAAGTGAAGCAGTTACAGGTAGGAATCAGGATTGGGCTCACTTGGCTTCAACTCCTGGGCAAGGGCAGCGAAGCGCCAGAGCCTGAACCCTAAACCACCAAAGCCTGAAGCAAACCCTCCAAAAAGATCATAAAAAAAACCTAGGCCTCAAACCCCAACACCCCGAAGCTTGAAAGCTAATAGTTCACCACATATTCAGGGACCGTTGTCGGTAGCGGCCTTCTGCTTTCAGAACACCCTGTTTAGGGTTTAGGGTTTATAGGGTTTAAAGTTCAAAATCAACAAACTTCGCCCAAACGGTCGAAGTCTAGCCAGTAGCTGATACACAAAACCCTGCATAATCCAACCTCGGGAAGATTGAACCCACAGCCCTAAACCGTGAACTCTTCGCATCTGAACCCCTCCACCCTAAACTGGCCCTGAACGCAACTGACAACAAATCCCATGTAGAAGCTGATACCTATGAATCAAACCAAACCGAACACACACCCAACCCTAAACCCTAAACCCTAAACCCCAAACGCTGCCAATGCAAGCTTTGCATCTGCCAGCTCGCCACCTTGCGCCGCAATCGAGTCTCGCAGGACCTTGTCGTAGCATGCCCGGTCCACTGACTAATTAATTACAGTTCGGTTGATGATATAAATTTTGCATCCTGCATTACCCATCGTAAGGAATAGATCATAATTCCCATAATTCAGGGTCCTTCAGGTAATGCAGGATTTCTATCATCAACAGTATCCCCTTCTGGCCCCTATATACTCACAAGGCCCGGGCATCGAGCTCAGCACGCTGGCTGTTGCGCGATTGGCTCGCCTCTGGCCCGCTTGAAGCTCTTACCCAAAGGGTCCAAAGTACCTGTATAGTAGAATGTAGGGTTTCTATTTTAGGAATTAGTATTATGATTTGGGGAAGTATGCCCCATAACAGTACCTAGGACCCTTTGGGTTAGGAGGCTAAGGGTTTAGGGTGCGGTGCAGGCGAGACGGAGCATACTTGAGGCGGGTCTTTGTCGGCGCAGAAGAAGGTAGGGGTTCTGCACAGCTTTCTTTACGGTTCTGCAAGGGTTTATGGGGTCGGTTCGTAAGTTGCAGACGAAAAACGAAAACTCCTTACAAAGACGAAGAGATGAGGGAAAACTCAAAGTCAGGTTCAGGGTTTAAGGTTTAGTGGTTGCGGGGGAGGAGCGGGAAGTTGCCAAACCACCGTGGCAGTTCCCGAAAGCCCCTCATGAAGGTAGGTCCCCAAGACGTCGGAAGAAGCCCAAGCTTACTTGAATTCCGAATAGCAGCCCGAGTTTAGCCAATAAACACTACCCTTTGCAGAAGCATTGTACAGTTCAAGGGACACCTAGAACCCCAAGTAAGGAGGAATGGCAGGTATATGGGCCGGCACTCTAAAACAAAAGTTGGTATTTCGGGCTCAGCCTGACGGAAGAAAGATTAGAATGCCAAGCATTCATAAGGACCATAAGCGCTCTGGGAAAAGGTGCCTCACCTAAGGGATCCTTCTCGGGCTCCTTCAACCCTACTATGGGATACCGGATACTGTACAGTAAACCCCAAATAGTTGGAAACCGGATGAAGGACAAATAGTGCTGGGATTCCTTATGCATTACGTTTAAAGATTGAAGCTATTGGGTTTCCAGCTTCTGCCGTAGGGGGATTTAGTAGATGCAGTATGCGACAGTTACACTCTGTACGGAGAGTGTAAGGGGATAATGTAGGGGGGCTAACAAATTACCTATAATATTTTGCGCTCCTTAATCTAATTCTAATAGTATAATAGGCCACAAACCCTACTCTAATTGTTAAGGCCCCTAAACCCAAAACCCTTCCTATAGTAGCCCTTATAGAACCCTTTAAGGAACCCTTTATAGGAACCCCCAAACCCTATTCTGACTATTCTAATTGTTAAGGCCCCTACATTACTACTAAGTTATCCAGGCCCCGGTATGGCGCACCCCTAAACCTTAAACCCCTACACCCCTAAACCCTAAACCCCTAAACCCCTAAACCCTAAACCCTAAAACCCCCCCCAAGTCCTGCTGCTGCAACTCCGATAGCCACTGGGCCTCGGGGCGCATGCCGCCGTGCGGGGGCCGGGGCGTGGGGTTACGGTTTATAGATTTAGACGGCCCGCGGTTTCAAATCAAACCCTAAACCCTAAGCCCTAAGGCCCTAAGTTTGGTTTATAGTTGCTGGGATTTGGAATACATGCGGTCAGGGTTGAGAGTGCGCGGGTGAAGACTTCAGGTGAGCACAAGTGCCATTTTACACTTGAGACCAACTGTTTAGAATACCCTGCTTCGCCGCAAAGAAAAACACAAAATCCCAAGGAAAACCCCTGTAACTTTTGAAAACCTGGTTTGAAGACTTCTGACACTTCCAACTTCTGTTGTTGCCAAAGGCAAGAAGCAGGCATGATCTGAGTGTGGCTTTGCGCGCTTGAGATCCCTTGAGTATGACGGGGCCATGGAAAGCTCACCCGGTGAGCTCTGTTTTTTGTTTGCAAAGGCTCTAAGGACTCGCCGTTGAAGGCTTTTTGGCTCAAGGGCCACTCTGCGGAAAGCTTCTTTTTTGCAGTTATGCACAAGAGAATACATACACACTCAATGACTCAACTCTCAGCCTCTAAACCCACCCTAAACCCTAAACCCTAAGCCCTTTAACCCCTACACCCTAAATCCTAAACCCCTAAACCCTAAGCCCTAAACCCCGAAACCCTAAACCCTAAACCTAAAGCTCGAAAATCTCCAAGCCCGAGAACTCAAAAGTCGACAGGCTCCAAGCCAGGGCGCGTAGGCCATGACCGTGGAATCCACGTCGTTGAGTGCGAGGGCGGATGGAGATCCAAGTCCGGCCGGGCTGGCCCCTGGTGACCCTAACCCTACGGCTCAAAATAGCCCAAAAGCCTTCTACAGCATGGTCTTTAGGCCCAAAACCCTTTTATAGTATGGTCTTTAGGCCCAAAAGCCTTAGAAGATGAGTCCTTAGAGCCTAAGGGTAAGGCTGCACGTACCTCTATAGTTAGTATATACTTCGGCCCTTAAGAACGTAACGGAGGTCCTAGATAGGTATAACCCTACACCCCAAAACCTACATGCTTACACCACAATCAATGTATATGTATATATATATATATGGCCAGAGTCTTACAGGGGTTCAGGTTTAGGGTTGTGGATTTAGGATCTGGGATTCTTTTCAAAGGCTTATGTGGGGTGAGTTCCTTTTGGTTGTGTCAGGGGCCTACAGGGTTCTTTAGGGTTTAATGAGGTTTAGGGGTTAATTTA